ATACAAAGACAGTCTACAGAATGGGAAAGGATATTCACCGAATACACATCTGACAAGGGGTTGATATCCAGGATATACAAAATACTGGTTAAACTCCACAAGAAGAAAACATCCAACCCCATCCAAAAATGGGGCAATGAAATGAACAGAAACTTTCTCAAAGAAGAAATCCGAATGGCAAAAAAGCACATGAGAAAATGCTCTACATCATTAATCATCAGGGAGATGCAGATCAAAACCACAATGAGATACCATCTCACACCTCAGAGACTGGCCCACATTCAAAAGAACAAAAGCAACCGATGCTGGCGTGGATGTGGCGAGAAAGGGACACTCCTTCACTGTTGGTGGGAATGTCCACTGGTTCAGCCCTTCTGGAAAACAGTATGGACGATTCTCAAAAAATTAGAAATTGAGCTCCCATTTGACCCAGCAATACCACTCCTGGGAATATATCCCAGAGAGGCAAAAATGTATAGTCGAAGTGACATCTGCACTTGTTTGTTCATTGCAGCACTCTTTACAATAGCCAGAAACTGGAAGAAACCTGAATGCCCAAGAACAGATGACTGGTTAAAGAAACTTTGGTACATCTACACAATGGAGTACTATGTAGCTCTTAGAAAAGATGAAGTCATGAAATTTACATACAAGTGGTACAATATGGAAAGTATCATGCTAAGCGAAATGAGTCAGAAAGAGAGGGATAGACATAGAAAGATTGCATTCATCTGGGGGATATAAAGTAACAAAGTATGAGATTAATACCCAAGAATAGCTGAGATCAGCACCAGGAGGATTACTCCATAACTTAGAGGCCAGCCGGGTATCCTAGAGGAAAGGGCTGTTCAGATAGAGAAGGGAGCACCAAATAAAGGATGTTTGGAGGATCCTCCCAGGAGGGGAGATGCATGTCGAAAGTAGACTATGGACTGAACATGTTTGCCACTCAATGCCTCTTTTGCAGACCACAATACCCAAAAGGAGAGAGAGAACACAGGGGATTGCCCTGCCACAGAGACTGGGGGGATGGGGGGATGGGGGTGGGAGGGATATTATCCATGGTGGTGGAAAATGGGCACTGGTGGAGGGATGGGTATCTGATCATTGTATAATTGAAACCAAAGCACAAAAAATTGTAAATCTACAACTTTAAAAAAAATAAAATAAAATAAAATAAAGGGAAAAAAAAATAAAATAAAAAAAAAATAAATAAAAGAGCCAGGGCTGTATTTCAGGGAGGCAGTGATACAGACTGGGTAAGAATAAGTAAAGTAAAAGGCCCTCCCGTTGATCATCCATTTGCTCAAGCGGGTCCAGTAACGTCTCCATTGGAGACTTTGTTGTTACTGTCTTTGGCATATCGAATACGTCACAAGGAGCTTGCCAGGCTCTACCGTGCGGGCGAGATACTCTTGGTAGCTTGCCGCGCTCTCCGAGAGGGGCAGAGAAATCGAACTCGGGTCGGCCATGTTGGCTGCGTGCAAGGCAAACGCCCTACCGCTGTGCTATCGCTCCAGCCCTCCGAGTGCCTGAGAACAGATGACTGGTTAAAGAAACCTGGTACATCTACACAATGGAATACTATGCAGCTGTTAGAAAAGATAAAGTTATGAAATTTGCATAATAGCGCATCAACATGGAAAGTATCATGTTAAGCGAAATGAGTCAGAAAGAGAGGGACAGACATAGAAAGATTGCACTTATTTGTGGAATATAAAGTAACAGAATGGAGACTAACACCCAAGAACAGTAGAGAAAACTACCATGAGGATTACTCCACAGCTTAGAAGTTGGCTTCGCATGCTGGGGGAAAAGGCAGTTCAGACAGAGAAGGGACCACCAAGTAAAGGGTGCTAAGAGGGCCTGCTCGGGATGGGAGATGTGGGCTGGAAGTAGACTATAGACTGAACATGATGGCCCCTTAATACCTCTACTGCAAACCACAACACCCAAAAGGAGAGAGAGAGAGCAAAAGGGAATACCCTGCCACAGAGACGGGTGGGATAGAGGGGACAGGGTGGGGGTGGTGAGAGAGATGCTGGGACCATTGGTGGTGGAGAATGGGCACTGGTGGAGGGATGGGTACTTGACCATTGTGTGACTGAAACACAAGCACAAAAGTTTGTAAGTCTGTAACTGTACACTTTTTATTAGTGATTCACTAATAAAAAATTTTTAAAAAAGAGAATATGTCATACATTAAGAGATACCTGAGAAACTTACATTTTATTTAAGTTTCCCAGTATTTTAAAAATAAAATGCCAAAACAGGAATTTATTATATATAATTTTAAATGTTTTATATTTAAAAAATTAATCTGTATGTTGAATATTTTCCATCAGGACAGTCTAGCTCTGTATGATAGCAACTTATTTATTTGAAGATAATGTTAAAATTCTGACTTTGTGATCATGAGACAGGTAAAATGGCTCTCCTGATAACCTAATCCCTATGTCTGGATTACGCCTGGATTACAGGAATTATTCCATTTGTTGCTATTTTGACACTACAGATCAGAATTTAGAACTAGCTGCACTTGCTGAGAGCATGAACTCAGTGTATCCTCACAGTAGTTTCTTAATAAACATGATGGTCATGACTTAATACCACAATTAAAGTGGAAAGTCCTCTTTAATGAACCAGCAGTACCTATTTCATTGTTATATTCACTTCTACAAATAAACATAAGTGGCAAGAATATATTAAGATCACATACTTAGAAATAAAAAAAATCAAATTAGGAAAATTTTCAAAGCTGAAATTCTGTTGAGATCGCTCTTGGCAGTAGTTTTGTCCTCACTATTCTATCTTACTAGGTCACAGAGACAATAATATAACTTACACCACCGAGCCTTATGGTGGTCTGATATAATAAGTTCAAGCAACGATGAGAACTAAGTAAATAGTAAAAGCACACTATAGTATTTCCACTACCAATATAAAATAGTAGAACAGAATATTCTACATGCAATTAATAAATTTAATAAATGAATTCATGAAACAAATTATAAATAAACGAATAAACCATGATATAATAGTAGTTGAATACCCTTCTCCCCGCCCCCCCAAAAAAGACAGAGCCTGTAGAAAGAACCTGCAGGTAAAAAGGGACTATTATATGATGTAAGACATACAGGGCCAGATAGTACAGAGGGTAGGGCACTTGCATTGTATGTACCCCACCCAGATTTGATCCCCAACACTATATATGGTCCCCCCCCGCCAAGTTCTACCAGGAGTGATCCCTGAGCACCGAGCCCTGAGTACTACCAGGTGTGGCCAAAATAAAACAACCTCCCCCTCCCCCAAATCCATCAAAACCATAATGTAAGATATACAGGAAAAGCAGTCCAAAGTACTATAAAAGTAAAGTTATAAAACAAAAATTAATGGATTAGAAAACAAACAAACACAGAACAAAGAGGAAAAAAACTTAGTTTTTTTTTCAGAAAAAAATGTATTAAAAATTAGCTAAGCATTTGTTAAGCCTACTTAAGGACTTTTCCTCAAATATTTGAAAGAAATCCGCCTGCTAAATGTATATGAACCAAGTGTCAGACATCTCATATTGATGTGTCACTATTCCTATGCCACTGGCTTATTTAGTATTTGCTTCTCTATAAAATCACCCATGTCATTAATACACTTAAATTTATGATAGCAGACTTTGTAATTATCTTAAATTGGATAAATCAGTAAAAATATTACTTTACCTAAATTGTTCTGAGAAATAGATAAGCCAGATATAATTAGGTTTTAAAAATAAAAAAGTGGTTTTTAATTCAAATAAGTTTGAAAAATGTTTCACTGAGTCAAAGTTTTTACTCTTTTAAATGAAGAAATTTAACTCATTGAAAAACTACCCAACATTTACTGCATGACTCTCCAAGAGGACCTTTATCATTTACAAACTTATACAACTACTTCTATAGAATTATTTTTTTTCAAAAATGCATTTAAAACTGCTGCAGCAAAGTATGGTTAAATCTAGAAACAAGAATAACACTATCAATTTTATTATGTATCATTCTTCAAGAATTTCTTAACTCATTTAATCTGAAATCATTGCAATTATAAAGAACATGTAACTTTGTATGATTGTTTTTACTAGGAAAAATCCAAAAGGATGGGATATCGTTGAAATTAAAACTTTTGTAAACTGCAAATGTAAATGCTTTTATAAAATGACACACAATTATGTTTCTAGAAATCACTGCAATTCTATAGTTCTCATGATCAATTTAAGACAAATCAGAATACAAATTTATTTACTACTGTACAGCTAGTAACTACTGTACAGCTCACGTAATAAACATGCCAAAATCATAAGAAAAAATGAAAATAAGAAAGGTCAGTAGGGGCCTGGGCTGTGGCCCAAGTAATAGTATGAGGACCTGGGTTCAATCCCCGGCATCCCTTCCTAGCACTGAGGTTGTGAGCCCCACACTCACCAAATTTGGCCCAACGAAAGTAGCAACAAAACCATTAATAGAGGGCAAGTCCCAACAGGTAAGAAATCATTCTAACTAAATAACTACTAGCTATTTACTATGAATACAATAAACAGTAGTACTAGACAGAATTAAGACACATTATATATATATGTGTGTGCGTATATATATAAAACATTTCATATGGAAGAGGGAGGTGGATAATGAGATAATCAATTAGCTTTGGGGGAAAAGAATACTAAAACCTATATATCAAAATAATCCCAAATAGGACAAAAATCTACTTTAATAAAACCATTAAAATTTTTAAAAGTAGGGGCTGGAGCAATAGCACAGCGGGTAGGGCGTTTGCCTTGCACGCGGCCGACCCAGATTCGATTCCCAGCATCCCATATGGTCCCCTGAGCACTGCCAGGGGTAATTCCTGAGCGCAGAGCCAGGAGTAACCCTTGTGCATTGCCGGGTGTGACCCAAGAAGCAAAAAAAAATTTAAAAATAAAGAATGTAATCTTGGAGTGAAGCACCCTTCATAAACATGATCCTAAGGTCAGAGACAAAAAGGAAAAGATTTATGCATTTTTAATTTTTTTATTTTTTTTTAGTCATTTTAATGCATTTTTTCTTGTGCACAAGGGAATAACTGATAGTCAAAAAGATAGTTTTCTTTTCACATAGCAGTTAAAAGTAATACAAACATCACAAGACACTTTCAGTGAAAATTACATTTCCAATACAAATCAAAATGCATATTAGGGTCTCTTTACCGGAGAAGCTAAGAAGGCAGGCTGAGGTAAAACGCACTTTCCTGGCATTACCACAATGATCCTTCACGCTTCACAAAGATTAAGGTCATACACAGTCAATCTGCAAATGTTGAATGTCACACTGTAGTTTTCTGTACAATTAAATGTATACTTAAGAGATACCAGGATAAACATTTCTACTATATTTTAACTGAACCTGTCTAGTCAACATTTTCACTGATAAGTTTATCAAAGAAGCTGTAAGATTCTACAAAATTGTGAGACACACTTAACTCCAGAAATATTTCTTATATTCTTTCTCATTTTGGTTACACAATCCTGCTCAGAGATTTTTAAATTGCAGTTCCAGTTGTGCTTACTGTACTGTGTACAAGCATCACAAAAAAGATAAAGGAATGGTATAAATCTTACAGCATTTTGCTAGCAAAAATACATGCCAAAGTCACAATAAGCAATATTGTACCGCAACATTTGAATATTGCAAATTCCAATAATTTGCTTCTGCTTTTAATTTTTTCACTCTACATTAAATTACTATAATAGGCTAATATTTAAAATGCAAATAAACTGGACATCTGTAAGACAAAACTTGCTCACCCAAACATGAAAGTTGATATTTCCATAAAATCACAATAAATGCATAATAAAGAGAAATGTACATGCAACACCTTTGAGTGAAACAGCATTGATTTTCACCACTGAACACAAGGAAACAGAAGTAAGGGGGGAGGGAGGGGGAGAAATGAAAGGATAGAGATGGACTCCACCTTAAAATACATCATATGGAACTTGTAACTAGACAGATTTAAAATAATCAAAATTAAAGCACAATTCTGTGTATTTAAAGATTTAAGAGCCATTATCAAAAATAAGATACTTTTTTCAAGGTACAGAAACGTAATTAGGATGGCTGGGAGCCCAGCAGCCTCTCAATGGCTGCATTGATGTCACCTCCTGTTGCTATCAGAGCCTGCAAGTTTGCTTCACGGTTTAAAAACCCCATTGCATTGAGCTGTTCCAGTTGTTGCTGAAATCTGACTTCTGGATTTGGCAGCTGTGGAGGATTTGCTCCAGCCAGAGCCTGCACCATTTGCTGAATGAATTGTTGGTTAGGTCCAGATTCTGATGTTGGACTCATAGTTTCACTGGGTGCAGAGCTGGGCACAGTGGACCCAGAGGGACCACCAGAGCCAGCGGTCCCTGCAGAGCCAGTGGGTCCTATAGGACCAATGGGGCCAATGGGGGTAAAAGGAACTATGGGCCCTATAGGACCTATGGGTGTAACAGGGCCTACAGGGCCTATGGCAGTTCCCAGGACCCCCACTCCCACCCCGGGAGTGAAACTTGGAATGAGTCCGGGTGCTTCAGTGGCTAATGTCTGTAGCCCCTGCTGGATCTGCATTAAAGCCTGCATAGCTCTTGGGTTTGACATGGCTGATATTGTGTCTGGATTCTGCATTTGCTGCAGGAAAGCTGGGAGCTGTGGACGCATCTGCTCTTGTAGCTGAGGATTTGCAGTAAACACTGGGCTATTCAGCATCATCTGTGCAGCCAAATCTGGATTTTGACTCAGCGACTGCATCATACTTCTCATGTAGGGAGCAGACAGCATATTTTGGATCAGCTGGGGGTTTTCAGTTATCTGTTGCAGCAAGCTCTGCATTCCTGGGGTACTGAAGATGCTGGCTACATAATTGGCTGCGGCCACGGTGTTCCCAGTAGCACTGCTGGAGCTACTGCCACTGCTGGTGGTTGTACTGGTAGTCGCAGAACTCTGGGTGGCCGCTGGTGGCGCCCATGGATTGGGTAATGGATCTCGATTTTCTGTGCGGGAAGGCTGTGTACCTTCCCCGGAGGAGGAACTGCCCCCCACTGAGGCAAACGGATTACCCCCAAACTGCTCCTGTGCAGCATTCAGCATAGGCTCTTGAATGTCAGTGTACATGCGCCTTAGAGCATTGTAACCACCAGGAATGCTCTCCAGATTGCTGAGAGCCAGGTCTTGATTTCTCATCATCTCCTGCATCATGGCTGGATTTCTGGCAATTTCCAGCGTCTGCCTCATAATATCTGGGTTGTTAAGCAGGTGACTGATTTCTGGGTTTCTCTGAATCAATTGTTGCATCTGTGGATTGGCCATAATAAGCTGCCTCATCAGATCAGGATTCGAAAGCATGCTCTGAACAAAGGGATTTTCCATGATCTGGATCATCATTTCAGGGCTGGACAGGAGCTGCTGCTGCATCTGGTTCTGGAGCTCAGAGAAGTTGGTGGAGCTCAAGCCCAGGCTGCTGAGGCCTGCTAGTCCTCCCAGGCTTCCCAACCCAAACGGGTTGCTATTTGTGGAAGTAGGTGTGGAGTTACTCCTGGGAGTTGATGCCGTTGCCGAGGTAGTATTACTTCCCACGACATTGCTAGACTGTGTAGACTGGCCCTGAGGTCGGTTCTGACTTTTGATGACAAGATGAACAGTCAGACCATCATGGATGCCGTGCTGGATCAAGGTATCTTGATCTTTTAATATTTTTCCGGCAAAAATCAGCACCAGCTGATCTGTTTGGGATTTGAAGCGTTTCGAAATCGCTTCCTTAAACTGCTGTACTGAGCTATTCTCAGGTACCGCGAACTCCTCTTTCTCTTTAGGAGTCTTCACAGTGACTTTGATGATTTTGGGCTCTGCCGAGGCAGAGGAAGGGCCTTGGGCCGCTGCAGGGCCGCGGGAGGGGCGCGGGGGGCCGCTGCTCTCGCCATTCTCAGCCATGGCGGCCGCGGTGACGCAGGCAGACAGGAAAGGCGCGGGCGGGCGAGAGAGCTAGCGAGGGAAGGAGGAAGGAAGGAGCACAGCCACAGCAGGTTGGGCCGTGCAGGAGCGCGGAACACAGTACCTCTCGGATGAAGACTGCGGTTCTCAGGTCCTCCGGTTGAGAGAGGGCTCCGTGTAGGCCACAGGCCGAGGTCTCCCGCTTTCCGGTCTCAGGGCCTCCGCCGCCGCCAAGTGATCCCACCGCGCGCACTCCCAGCAACTCCTGCAGCCGCTCCGCCCGCTCCTCTCCGCCCCTTCCCCTCCCCCAGTTCCTAGCTTGCTTCCCTGCCCCCTCTACTGACGGCGCCGAGGCCCAGAAAGATAGATTTGACTGGGACAAATTAAAAACTTCTGTACTGCGGGGCTTGCAGGGGCGGGGAAGGGAGAGGGGAGAGAAAGAGAGAAACAAAGACAGAGAAACAGAGAGGGAAAGATACCAAGAGGAAAGAGGAAGGGGAGGGAGCAAAGAAAGCCAGCTTCAGGAAAGGACCAGTGGAGACTACGTTCACGTATATGCAGTCCATTAAGGAGGCAGCGAAAGAATGAGAGCCTTAAGCGAACCGACTCCATATAAAGACAAAAAATGAATAAAAACAACTCTCACAATACAGAAAGCTGAGAGATTAACAATTGTGGTTAAGGGAAAAGGGGAGGGCAGGGAAGAAACCTGTATTTTACGAAAATAGAGCAGATGGAAATGAGCGCATACAAAAGACATTTTGTATTAAGAAATCAGAGAAATTCAAACAATGAAATTCTATTCATGCTTTATCCATTGCCAAAGAAGAAAAATAACGATGAATTCTATTGGTGATAGTTGAGAAAATGTACTCGCATGATAATTGAACTGCAAGTGAGTTTAATAATCATTAGACATTTTGAAAAGATATATTATCATTTTAAAGGCTTCCATTTTTATTCAAAAAAACCTCATTTAGAGACCTCACCTATGAAAATAATTGAAGATGCAGAAATTTATATGTGCAAAAATTTGAAACTATTTGTATTTGTGGTAAAAAAATTAGTGGTTCAGCAGAAATTATTTTCTCAGCATATGACCAATGGAATATGCTTTGCTATGATAAAATATATTTTAATAATTAAGTGCAATATAAAAAATTTCCAACTTATAAAACACAAAAAGAATCGTTGGTCTTTAAAAGTTTTATAATTAATAAACCATTCACCGATGTCGAAAATGGTCCTCTGGTTGATCAAATGAGGTTTTCTAAAATGTAAACTAAGCATTTTCTCCTCCGTCTTCCTTCCTTTCTTTTTTTTTTTTTTTTTTTTTTTTTGCTTTTTGGGTCAAATCCAGCAATGCTCAGGGGTTACTCCTAGCTCTTCATTCAAGAATTATTCCTGGTGGTGCTCAGGGGACCACATGGGATGCTGGGAATCGAACCCAGGTCAGCCACATGCAAGACAAACACCCTATTATGGTATCGCTCCAGCGCTTCCTCCGTCTTTCTTTTAATTGATTTATCAGTTTACAGCATTATAAAATTTCAGGGATACAGATTAACACCTCCATTTGTGTGTGAAATTTACCACATCACTAAAGTTCTGATTATATTTAAGACTATCTATCTATCTATCTATCTATCTATAAACACTCTTTAAGCAAATGTATAAAATAATCTGGACCATTCGATATCAGTAAATTAATGGTAGTTACTGAATGCTGAGATTATGAATAGTTATCACTTCTTAAAAACACTAAATTTCTGTTGACTTTCATAACTATACATTATATTCACAATTTAAAAATAATTAGAAGTTATTTGGGGCAGAGTTAGTGGCAAACATTAAAATGCTTTTTTTAATTTAGTTATAGATTTCATGACAGAAATATAGCACTTGAATAACAGAACAATTTCAGATTCATTTATTAATCTCTTTGTTTTTGTTTTTGGGCCAAACCTAGCTGTACTCAGGGCTTACTCCTGGCTCTGTGCTCTGATAATGCCCTGGGGAACAGTGCTGGGGGTTGAAATGGAGTTAGCCACATATAAAGCCCAAACACCTATACTATCTCTCAAGTCCCACAAATTTTCCTTCCTTCCTTCCTTCCTTCCTTCCTTCCTTCCATCCTTTTTTTCTTTCTTTCCTCCCTTTCTTCCTTTATTTTCAGTACATGAGCTGCTGAAGTGAGTACATAGCCCCATAAACTTCTAACTCAGGTTTATGCTACTCATAAAATAGTTTTCTCTCATACACACAATATTCAGCAAGCATTTAGCAGCATTGAAAAGTCATTACATCACAAGTATCTTAGTAAATGTCAAGATAAGAATAGAAAGAGGTATGTTATAGCTGTCAAATGAGAGTAAATTAATTGAATGTGATGAATGTGATAGACTGTAGCACTGCACTGTAGCACTGTCCTCCCGTTCATAGATTTGTTCAAGCGGGCCCAGTAACGTCTCCATTGTGAGACTTGTTGTTACTGTGTTTGGCATATCGAATATGATAGACTACAGAAGATAAAATGAATGAACTAGATCATACAGATTTACATATGCATACAAATCCATATAGATGCCAGAAACTAATGTCTGATGTTTATTGATACACCTATATGAGTACTGAAAGCTATCCTAAATATACTAGAATCATTAGTACCAACATACACCATGAGAAAGAGGAAATGGAATAAGACACGTTATAGTTATTAAACTATTGAATTAAGTTTGTAAAAATGGATTTCATATTTGAGATAAAAATAAATATATGACAAAATGGTGACAGTATTTCTAACTAGTAGGCACATTAATGTTAAGATACTTCAGTATATATTTTTGTATTTTTAATTTTTCGGGGGCTGGATCAATAGCACAGTGGGTAAGGCATTTGCCTTGCATGCGGCTGATCCGCGTTCGATTTCTCTGTCCCTCTCCGAGAGCCCGGAATGCTACCGAGAGTATCCCGCCCGCATGGCAGAGCCAGGCAAGCTCCCCGAGTCATATTCAATATGCCAAAAACAATAAAAACAAGTCTCACAATGCCCGCTCGAGCAAATCAATGAACAATGAGAGGACAGAACAGTGCGATAGTGCTAATTTTTTCAGAAATAAAAATATCTAAATAAATTATTGTCACTTATTTATACATTATCACTATATAAAATACATGTATAATAAATTACAACTTATTACCAAAAGAATGCAAATTAAAATAATAGTGAAATATCAACTCACACTCACAATACCATATAGTAAAAAGACTATAAATAGGATTGGCAGGAATGTGGTGAGAAAGTAACCCTTATTATTTTTTTAATTGAATCATTGAGAGATACACAGTCACAAAGTTGTTCCTAACTGGGTTTCAATCATACAATGAAGCCCTCATTTTGGAACTATTATCTGGTTCAGCCTCTATGGAAACAGTATGGAGTTTCTACTTTAAAAAGTAGAAATAGATCTCCCATGTGACCCAGTTTAATTCTAATCATTAAATCTACTCTCCAGATAAGGGAAAAACAATATTTTGAAGATTTATGTACTCCTAGTCATTGCAACTCTTACAAGAGACAGGACATGGAAAAGGACCAAATGACTAACAACAGATGAATGAATGAATAAAGAAACCATGGTATATATACACAAAGGAATACTATAAGTCTTAAGAAAAGATGAAATCATAAATTTCACTACAATGTGAATGGAACTGTAGGTATCTCATTAAGCAAACAAGTTAGAGAGAGAAGGAAAAATACCAGATGACCTCATTCACCTGTGGTATATAGAAATGATATCGGAGGTGAGATTGGAGTGGGAACATTGTATGCCTGAAACTATTATCAACAACTTTGCAAATCACAGTACCTAAAATTAATAATGACAATAATAAAGATTCACTCTTCTTGTGAATCACAATTGGCAATAGAGAAATAAAAGAAGTTTCTTTGTAACTCAATTATAATCAAATCATCCAAGGTAACTATTTTCATTGGCAAGTTTATGTTAGATAAATAAGGTAATTCATATTTATTTTTACAGTCTTAAATCTTCAGATTGTCATTTAGAGATTCTATTATGATTTCTATTATCTATAAATGATAGCTGGAACGATAGCACAGCAGGTAGGGTGTTTGCCTTGCACACAGCTGATCTGGGTTTGAATCCGCCATCCCTCTCGGAGAGCCCAGCAAGCTACTGAGACTATCCCACCCGCACAGCAGAGCCTGGCAAGCTCCCTGTGGCATATTCAATACGCCAAAAACAGTAACAAATCTCACAATAGAGACGTTACTGGTGCCCGCTCGAGCAAATCAATGACCAACGGGAGGACAGTGATAGTGACAGTGATTATCTATAAATAATATTTATTTTATTTATTTTTTTACCTCCCGTTCTTCGTTGATTTGCTCGAGCGGGTCCAGTAACGTCTCCATTTTTTGAGACTTGTTGTTACTGAGTTTGGCATATTGAATACGCCACGGGTAGCTTGCCAGGCTTTGCCGTGTGGGCGAGATACTCTCGGTAGCTTGCTGGGCTCTCCAAGAGGGGCAGAGAAATCGAACCTGACTTGGCCAGGCTGATTGCGTGCAAGGCAAACGCCCTACAGCTGTGCTATTGCTCCAGCCTGTTTATTTTATATATATTTTTTTATTCAATCACCATGAGATAAACAGTTACAAAGTTATTCATGATTGGGTTTCAGCCACACCCATCCCTTCATCAGTGCACATTTCCCACCATCAATATCCCCAGTTTCCCTCCTGCCACCACCTGCTTGCCTCTATGGCAGGGAATTTTATTCTCTCTGTCTCTGTCTCTGTTTCTTTCTTTTCTTTTGGGAATTGTGGTTTTCAATACAGGTACTGAACGGTTGTCATGTATACCCCTTTACTTAATTTTAGCACTCCCTTCGTGTCCAGAGTGATTATTTTCAACTGTTATTGTCATAATGTTCCCTTCTCTATCTTAACTTCCTTCTTCCCCCAACACTCTTGTGGCAAGCTTCCAACCATGGATCAATGCTCCAGAACCGTTTCTTGTGTACTTAGATATCAGTCTAATACTA